AACACATGGTCTGGCTGAAGAGCAAATCTGCTTGCAGTTATTCCAGCTCTAGTAACAGACTCTGAACTACTTTCACTGAGATGAGTACTCAGCCAGAACAAAAATGGATGGAATTCCATTAATTAATTGGGTTAATGCAACTGGGCTAATACACACAACTCCAGGAAGGCTATGTCATTTTTATTATCCAGCTTCTCCTCTGATAAACAGTATTCAGCAAGATCTGTAAGACTTGCACTAATGCCACATGACAGCAGAATTTGGTCCCATGAATTCCACCAGATGAGCCAAGTTATTTTACATTTGCTTAGCTCAAATTTTGGTCCACTGTAGCTACTGTTGTTCAATAAAACTATAAAATTCACCTCAGAATCAGACCTTCTTTTAATTCTGAGAAGAAAATAACTGAGTGGAAATTAGGGCTATCTGTACCTTAAGGGTCTTTCAATGGTAGTACAAAAGGGTGACACTCACACAGCTGTGAGCAAACATATCTAGCACAGAGAGCTTATGGGGCTTGCAGGTAGAGGAACTCAGTTAAAATCAAAGAAAACAAATGTCAAACAGCTGCATTGTCCACTCATGTGCCTTTTTAGACTGGCATCAGTGGAACTCAGTTGGAGTCCTGTAAACATGAGTGATCCTGTGGACACCATGATTTTAATTCCAGTTCAGTGTGCAGTGGGTATGGGCTGAGTTCTACACTGTCACTGTGAGCCACTTCTGTCAGCCTGACTGGCATTTCCAGACACAGTGAAGTACCAGGGAGTGCTCAAACCCCAGTGCAGCTGCAGCTGCCCAAAGCCTGAAGCAATGCAGAGCCCCAGCTCTGCTCCCCAGGCAGTGGGGCTGGGGTCCCTCCTGGGCTCAGCCCTGCTCCCCCAGTGCAGCAGACAGGGCTGTGAGGGATCCACACCACACAGACCTGCAGCAGGCCAACACCCAGAGCAGGCTGAGGGCTCAGGAGCTCTGTGTGGCTCCACAGCCTGTGGGAGGCAACATCAGCTCACACGATGCTGCCCAAGGTGGCTGCTGGGCCTTTGGGCTTGTCCTTGCTTCTGTTGTAAAAATAAAGTAAAAAATAATGGTTTAACTGGATGGTGACTTCAGGTAGTGACCAGAATTACCTCTCAGTGACATGAGGTGGCACTCTGAGGTGCACTGAAGAATTGGCAGTGGTGGTGCTGTATTCTGATTTCACAGCATACCATGGTATAGGTATTATTTTGCAGTACACATCAACAGTAATAAGTCCCCTTTCCCAAGAAGCACACTCAGCTTAAATTCACAATGCCAGAGCACAGCAGCTTGCCCCACTTTCTTTAAACCACTCTTGACATCTTTACCATTGCCTAATACCATTACAGTGCCAGTGAGCTGCCTGACATGTCACTACACACCCTGTGATTCTGGGAACAGCTTTTCATCACAGTGTTTCTGCTGCTGTGCCTCCTGATGAGGCCAGGCTTGATTCTCATGTGACACCAGCTTTATGCAGTAACTCATCTGCACCTGAATTTGCTCTCATCTCTCTATAGAGCCACAGGCTCCTCTGAATTGTACACAAGATCTGAACACAATCTATCCTGACTTCAGCAGCTACCACAAGAGGTTTAAACTGGTGTGAGATGATCAGAATAACTGATCTTGGAAGACAAAGTATCTCTGAAACAAAATGGCTTAAGGAAAGCTATGAAGTCCATCAGAAAGGCAGGTCTGACAAGGGTACATGGCTACTCTCTAAGTCAGGCAGGAACATTTTGCATTCAGTGGCAGAGAGGTTTCAGTCATGAAGGAGATCATAATAGCTTTTAGCCAATACATTTAGGCTTAAATATCAAATGATCAACCAAAATATGCCCCCATATAGACATATCTCATTAGACAATAGAGAATGCCTTTATGCATTGGTGTGCCCTGGTTATATCATGGAAGTTCAAGAGGATTGTTGGAAATTGAGGAATTGAGCTCTCCTAAGATTAAGATTTGTTTTATTTGTATTTATAAAGTAGCTGTAAAGTAAAGCTGGAAGATCTCATAAGGACAGTAGATTAGTTTTCCATCTTCATCCCCTTTGCCTCAGTCCCAGTGCATTCAGGTGAGGTCAGGGAGATGCTAAGAAGGAAAGGCCCTTTGCAAAGAGCCCTTGGTCTGCAGCCTGCCTACAGCTGGGACACTTCTACACTTGCTCCAGAACGGCAACTTGATTTTCTTTGGTGTCTTGTTAAATATTTTGTCTTTCTTAAAACTTCAAGACACTGGTCTATGGAAATGAGTTAACCTGAAAACCAGCACATTGACACAGCACATTCATTCTTACACTGACTTTAGGGATCACAGGACTAAAATGACATTGTTATGTCTGCAAGAGGCAGTAGATGCACAAACTACAGAGGAACACTTGAATAATGCCACTACCACTAGCAGTGGTAGGAGTGTTTTCTGTTTACAGCTACCATATCTTTTCTCCTGTGCTATGAAGTAATGAGCAGGAACTTTCTGCTGCAAATTCACACATAAATCCACACGGATGTGTACACACACTCACACTCCTGGGCTTGCTTCAATGCTGCATGGAGTTTCTCCTGAGCTCCAAGTAATGAAGTGTGTTAATACTTAAGTCAGAATCCCTACCAGCCCAATTTTTGTTATTTGTTAATTTACACTCACAAAATGAATAATTGGATTTAGACAGCATTAAATGCTGATAAAAACAGTTTTTTCCGAAGTACCTAAAACCATCAGTGAATCTAAACTGTCATAACAGAAGAACATAATAAAATCTGTGAAATTTAAAAAAGCATGGAAATTAATTTCCAGATTCAATTGGCTTATTTTGTTTCTTTAGGAGGAATGAATATCTCCAATCCTCTTTTTTAAAATCCCCCACATAACTATCAACAGATCTGTCTCTACTTTTCAAAGGAGATAATTTATAAATGAGTCAATCTATTCACAGAGAGACTATTTAAATAACTGAAAGTCCAAAGAATATGTAAGAAAAAGTGAAATTAAGATGCAAGCCGTGAAAGTTGCCACCAACACGATCACAAAAAGGTTTTCCCTCAGCTCCTGCTTTGAGCACCCAACACACATCACATGGCTGGAGATGTTCACTGCATGTGGAGCTGGGTATTCTGCCTGCACATTGTCAAATACTTGAGACTTGCTGCAGCCCTTGAAGTGGAGGTTAAGTGCTATGTAAATGCCTCTCTTGAGCATTTAGGACTTTGCTACCCTTGGGTCTTGCCCCCCAAATGCCTGAGTTTAGCCCTTTACAGGCCTGCTCCCTTCACTGCTGAACTCTTGATATTGCTCCAAACCTCAGGCATGGGACACAAATGACAGTCGTGTCAGTTCTGGCAGTGTTATACAAAGCTTGGTGTCCTTCTTAAACCCAGCTACAGAAGTCAAGAGATTACATCACTGTTCCAGTTTATCACTATTAAAAAGAAATGTGTCAGTTCCAGCCCTTGGCACGCTTGTAAAATGCCTGAAAATGTGTCGTGAAACCAGTCCCAAAGCTCATAATCCAGAAGGCAATACAGGAACCAAAGAGTTTATTTAAAAAAACCAACAAAACCAAACCACAATTTTAAGCCAATCTTGTAATTTTTGGTGCTTGGTTCATGAGTCTGAAAGCTTAATTTGGGCAATTTTAAGTGCAGACATTACAAATGCCCAAGCACAGACATGCTGCTTCCCCATGGATTGAAACAAACAAACAATCTTATTTGATTAGCTCTGCTGGAAGTAATATTTTAAGGGGTAAAATGATTCCATGAAGATGACATGTTGGCAATTGAAATGAGATGAATATAGTGTCTGTAAAAGTGCAATAATCCTTAATAACTAACCCAAAAGAAGCATCATCCCCAGGGATAAGACAGTAATTTACTCTCCATATTTAATTTGTTTCTAAGCCGCTTTTGAAACAAGACTGCTAAATAGCAAGTTGGCTTGTGATCCTAGACTTGACTGCTGGACTTATTATCATCATGCCATTGATTCAGCATACATTTCAACCTAAGTCACTGGATACAAAACCAGGAGGGCTAATTCCTTAAAAGATGTGAACATGGGGTAAATTTAGAGATAGGAGCCTGTTTACCACAAGCAACGGGGAAAAGATAATATATGGTGATCACTGAGGGACTGCAGCAAACTCTGATGGGTCCTGTGTCTGCAGACTGTCTTTCAAGACATTGCTATCCCTTGTAAATGCATGGAAGTCTTGGATTTCAATCTACATTAAAGAAGCAAGTGATGACAATGCACTTAATTAGACTAAATAGTTATTTGCAAAGAGAATGGAAAACTCTGGCTTATGACAAAATCAGCCCAACCTCAGCTCAAGTACCCAACCTGTTAAAAAAAATATTTAAAATGTTTCATTTTCATTTTCTTTAAAGAAACCCCGACCACCCTCATTCATCTACATTTCTGAACAGTTCTCACTGCTGTGGTTTTATTCATTAGCTCCTGGGGCCAGGTTGGCGTGACCAATGTGTCAGATTCAGGTTTCAGCCGTGTTACTGAAACCCTCAGAGAACAGGTAAGGGTGAATCAACCACTTCAGGAACAGGAATGTGCAGATAATACAGGATGGGCATGTTCTGCAAATGTCCTTTGCAGAAACCCTACACTGGATGATTTCTCTAATGATGCACGTTGGCTGTGTGTACAATACAGTCTTGTGGAACAAAATGTTAGGAATTATTGATTTTTAAGAAAAGGTAGTACTACAGGGAGCTAATATGCAACAGCTACTGAAATGTTTGTCTTAAATGTGCACTGGGCAGAGTCCTTAAGCTGCTCTTATTGCAAATATCCAAGGCCTGCTCTAAAAATCTTAACAGTCTGAACCTTTTAAATGCAAATTTATCCTATTTATCTGGTCACAACCCAGTGAGTAGAATCCAATAACTCACCAGATTAAAGAATATACAGATTTATATAGCAGAAGGTAATTGCAATTAACTAATATCTGGATGGCATTTAATACACATATTGTATTATTTCAATGAGATGAGACAGAATAATATTTACATTGCTATGAGCATTTTCTGTTTATAGAAATGGAATTTACAGTTCAGTAAGGTATGCAGGCGTTATATCAAGAATGAGATGAGACCATTTAAAGTCTTGTGAATTATTGATATAAATTCATTTTGTTTTGTTTCATGCACCAGCGCTTCTTGCAGTGGCACCAGAAGAGCAGTGCAGTTTATAACAGGGAAAAAAATAAGAGGAAAGAGCAAATGTGAAATGGTGCAATTTATTCACAATTGCTTTGAAATTCTATCTGAATTGTCTCATTATTATTCACGCATTAGAGGAATGGTCCAAAACATGACAGCATGGGTAAACAGATGCAGAGCTTGGAAAAAAGGTAATCTGACTGAAGTATTCATGGCCATTATTAAACAAATGTTATATTGCTTTTGGGTAAATCTGGTGATTTTATTTAATTTGACAATGTTTTCAAGATAGCAAGATAATACTGTTCGTTTCTAATGCTCTGAAATGAACAAAACAGGTGAAAATTGATGCCACATGGAATTATAATGTTTCAACAGTAGCTGGTTAGTTAAACTTCTAGATAGTTCATGAAGAATCTGCATACACTTATTAATGGACTTCTACATACAATATCAATGCTTAGAGTGCAGCAGTCCTGTTAAAATCTGCTTTCAGTGAGTCACTATGCAAGGAGAGATTGTTTTATGAATAAAAATCTTGGATAAGTATTTGTTTGAGACTAAACAGTAAAACAGAAAGAAAATTCACAGATTTAGTACAGGAATGGTAGATAAGACTAAGAAAGCTAATATTTTGAAACTGCCTAAAATTGCAATAAATTCTGCTGCCTACTGAAATTATTAAGCCAACAATAAACAGGAAGAATGGAATATCAAAACCTCATTGCATAGTGTGTCATCATTCTTTAATGAGGCATTCCTTCAACCTTTTACCTCTTAACACCTTTGGTGATCTTACATTATGTACCTGTAAGATATTCAACATTCTCTTTTAGAGATTAAACCCATAGGGAGTATGAAATCTTAGGAATGTACTGAGTCAGGTAATGATGCCAGAATTAAGCGTCGAAAAGCTTGGTTCAGGTTCAGAAGATGATTTTGAATGAATAGCTATAACTTCTACTAATTTATTTCAGAAGGGACTTCTCATATATACCCTCAAATATTTAAGACGCTTTGTACTATTTCTCAGGAATCCATATCTTCTCAAAGTGCTTTTTTTGTTTTCACTTGAAGGCAGCATGGACTTAAAACAACACTGCAGGGAATGTACCGTTCCATAAAGCACATAAGGATGGCAGGATCCAGGAGACACAAGGCATAGAAAATTGTCAAAGATGATTAGATGGTACAACACATACTGCTCTTGAGTCATAAGTTTCATTTATGGTGACTTCTACTTCCAATAGATAGGATATTAAAAAAGGCAATAAAAATGAAGTTACATGAATAAACTTCCAAAAATGAGTGGAGTTCCACCAGTGATCGTCTCTGCGCTGGTAGAGGTAGAAGAATGGGGATGTCATGAGCAGGGCAGCAGTCACTACAACAAATGAGCCTCGATGCGGAGCCAGTGGAGTCCCTGGCGAACGTAACGAACCAGATTGGTCATACTGCTGTGTTGTGTTAAGGGCCCCATCACTGAGTCCAGCTCTACAAAGAACTCTGCAAAACACAAGAAACAGAAGCATTTTTTCAGGCAATGGTACAGAAATAGAGGTATCACCATGATTTCCCACTCAGAAGCAGCACAGTGTAATTAGTGAGTTCTAAGGACAGTTGTGTACATGAGCATGTGGTGTGTAAGAAAGAATTTAAATGACAATAATATATTGAAACAAAGCAAATTAGATTATCCATGCTGGAAGTCTACCACAGGATGGTATGAGTGGTTGTCAGTAGTCTTCCTTTAACTCTGATCATCTGCACTGTCAGTTTTTCAAGATTAGTTTTGCTGACTGTATGATTTAAATAGCTGGCAATGAAATCTTGCATTACTTTTCCATGCTGTACTCTTCTCCAGACATGAAGGGCTAGACTGGATCTTTCCAGACTAGAGGACCTTTCTTGCTCTTTTCCCCACCCTCTAATTTCTGTTACTGACACTGCAGCACTTTTGGCCCTCTGCTCATCCTGCTGCAGCTGCAGGCCCAGAGGATGAGTGTGGGATGGGAGCTGGGGAGGAAGAGGAGAGAGACAACACAGCAGGAAAATAACTCTTTGGAGACCTCTAAGGGTCTCTAAGAACCTCTAAGGGGGGAGAATCCCATCCCTGGGATTCCTGGTCAGGAAGGGTTAACAGGAGGTCACTAAACAGAGAGCCCCAGTTAGGAAGCGACACACCAGTTTACTTCATGTCACATGTTAGATGCTCTCTGGGTGAAAGACTAATCCTGTTAGGGCCAACAGACCTTTCCTAATTGCTGTCAATGGAGAACTGAATTGTGTCCTGTATTCTCCCACAGTTCTTTATGCTTGCTGGGGCACAGGCATTCCCACATATCCAACACTTACACTATATTTAGGCAAGTGGGAACCCGCTCTCAGTTAAAGCCCCTTAGAGCTCAGATAACAACCAACAATCACAGTGAGGAATGGCTGAGCCCTCACATTCTCACCCTGTCTGCAATCCAGTGCACTGAGCCAGCCAGCACTGCATTGGCTGCACTTCAAGAAAGCAGATGCTGGGTATGAAATCATTATCAGTACTTTCTTCAGCGAGTAAGTGCTGCTTTGAGGTCTTCTATCCAAGTATTGACAGCCTGACCCTGGTCAGCTTGGGAGCTACAGCAGTATCAGAGCACAAAGTGATTTGGCTGGAGGCAAGCATAATGAGAGCTCAGGGCTAGCACCAGTGCTGTTCAGATGCTGCAGCCAGCAGCTACTTTTAATCTTCCTTTCTCTGTCTTTCATTCATCTCCTCCAGTGTAAAATCAATACATTTTGAAATGAAATAGTGCACTATCGTGCTTGAATTCTAGAGATCTCATTCTAGGCTCAAATAAACAATAATTGCTTTAAACACTGAGAATTCACCTTAAAGCCTAGTTTCAGGTTAACATTTCTGGAAAAAGCTACAAGCACTGAAGCCACTTAATAAATTTATGCGTGAGAGAACAGGTCTTGCTCCCTACAGAGCTGGTAGTTTTCTACTACAGAGAAGAAGTCCTGCTTTCTTCAGAAGCATAAAAAAATGATCTGATCTTGTAAAGTCAGCTGAGAGTTTGATGTTATAGATGGTGAACAACACCACTTTAGGTGATCCAACACAAACCATCCCATGGGCTTTGGGAAATCTGCAGTTTAGTCTGGCCTGCTACAGACACAGGTTTATGCCAAACTCCATCTATTCTCCCCACACTCTCAACTCCATGGACCAGGGGATTCCACCAGAGGTACATGGCAGCATGTTCCTGCTTTCCTCTTCAAACCAGATCAGCTTGGCGGGTCACAGCTCTGCTGCTCTCCCTCTTGCTATGCATTTTTATTTAAATGGCACATCTTTTGTCAGGCTGACAAAGAAAGGCTTCTGTCTGCTGCTCTGAGCCAGCTGAACATGAGTCAAGTTCAAACTGGGAGCGTGCAGCAGACTCAGAGCAGCACAAAAGCTAAGCTGACAGCCGTGGACAAGGGGCGGCTGCACAGCTCCTACAGTGTGCAGGAAATTCCTTGTGACTGCATGGGCATGACCTGAGAAACATTCATGGCAGCAGTAAGACCCAGAGGTAATTGCTATTAGGCCACAGTTTTATACCCATCTCAGGACAGATCAAGGACATATTCTTATGCAAGACACGCCCTGTGATTCAGAAGACAACAGGAACAATTAGAGCTGACCACAAAAACTCACAAAAGTGACTGAATCTGGTTGTTTTTGTTTTGTTCTGGTTTTTTTTAAGGAACTAAATTTTTATCTTATCATGGTTTCTTTGCAGGTTTGTGGGTTTTTTTGGTTTTGACATCATTCTTATTTCAACAGGAGGGGAAAAATCTCATTTTTTATAAAGAACTGACTGCTCAAGCTCCTGAGAGAGGCCGAATGATGACCTGGGACTCACAGCAGAGTCTGGGGTTTGCACTGTCCTGTTTGCTGCCACGGGGCAGTTTTGAGTCCACAGGCCACTGCAGCAGAGCTTGGGCAGTGCACCAGAGCTGAGACAGCTGGCAAGGTGGACTGGTGATCACTGCAGAGAAAGTGTGAGTCCTGTTCCAGCCAACCACATAAAGGTGCTTTGAATTATGTGAGAGGTGCAGATGACATCTAGTGAAACAACTACAGCCAGTTTTCATGAAACACTGCACCATTTCTCATGTCAAAGTGTCTTGAATGCATCCTTTTTAAAAGAGAATTCCTCATGTGGTATGATGGAGACCTGCAGAGTACCACAGCAGTTCTCATATACTTTTTGCTACACCATGAATTTTTCAAATTGCAATTTGTGTTTAAGCATGCAACTTTAAATCAAGTACTTAATTAGAAATGAGGTATCTTTCCAGAAAATATATAAAGGCCGACATGCTATAGCATGTAGGAAACTCTGATCTCTCTCCAATGGTTTACAATACTTAAATGAAATTTGAAGTAACATGAACTTTGCATTCCCTGTAACGTGTCTGCAGGTTGTGAAACAAGATATGAAAGAACAGGTCACAACCTTAAATGTCTTGCTCATGTGAGAAACCCTTATTCATGCATCCAGTCCCAGCAAAGTCAAAGGGACTGCTCATCTGAATAAAGAGTATTCCTATATGGCTTTGCAGAATTGGGTTTATTTGATCATAAATCAAAATGAGAACAAAGAAGAGAGCAGGGAGGAAAATGCAGAAAGAGAATCAGCAGGTTTTTTCTCATCCAGCTCTAGGACTGATAACAGCAGTGGCTGGGTACATTTTCTGTCTGCTGGCTGAATGCCTGAGCTATTTTGATTTAATACCAAGTAGAACATTTAACAACTCCACAACACACAGGGCTAATTACAAGATTATCACCATCTCTTCCTCCTATCAGGGCATCCTTCTGCATTCCCACTGTAACATTCTGCATTACATTTGACAGGGAATCGCTTTCACATTTTGTGAAAATGGATGCAACTATGGAAAAAATCCAAAACGACTGCACTGCTACTAAATTAATCAATGTGAACAAAGACAAGAAGCAGTGGGGAGGACTGGACAGAACTCCTATTATTGTTCCTCATCCAGGGATGGATCATTATGACCCACCATTCAGACATAAAACTCTATAAATCTCAAGCTCAGTTTCTCTAAATCAGTGGAAATTTGCCACTGACATTAATGGGAGTAAGATCAAACTGCATAGAGCAAGCACATTTGTCAGGACAAGTCGGCCATCTGAAATCTCACTATAATTTAAGAGAATGAGCCAACTCACCATGAGACTATTTCCTAGTTAGGCTCTGTACCTCTAGTGTCAAAGGAAGCTTTCTCAGTGATTTGTGTAAGCCCAAAGCTGGAATCTGAATAATTATATTGCCATGGGGAAGCTCACAGCTGGCCAACAACAGGCCAAATTTGTCCCTTAGTTATATCTCAGTCACTCCACTATACTTGATACAATCCAGTCACAAACTGCTTGCCAAAACTCCTTTGAAATGACTGTGGTAAAGACTTACATTTTGTTGTTAGGAATTAACAAACAGATCTGCAATCCTCCAATCAAAGGAGAGTCAAGGTCATGGCTTTCAGTGGACATCTCCTAATCGGACTCCCCACACAAACACATCTAATGTTTGCTTATTATACTAGCTAGCATTTTAATAGTCTTAAACCCGTTGACAGAGCAATCTGAAAATAACCTCGGTGCTCTACGAGAGGCTGAAACTGTGAACGAATTTGCAGACTTAAAAGCTCTCATCACTTGGGGCTTGTGTTCACTAAATTATTTGCCAGCTGCTCTGATAACCCCATGTTCAGCATGTGTCACACATCCCCCTCTGTGCCTGACAAGAGAAGATACGCATTGGCTACAGCCACCAGCAAGCAGATTTGGTCTGTTTGCTCAAGCTGTCACAGTTGTGCTCCTAGATGCGCTGGTTCTGGGTCCGAATCCAGAGAGCACCGGGAAAGCTAAAGCTGGGGAGCCAAAGGGGACACAGAGAAAGCAGAGAGGGGGCACCTTTGTTCTCCTTGGTCAGCTTGTCAGCCATGTCCCAGTGCTCGTAGCTGCGCAGGACGTTGTTGGTGATGTTGACGTGGCTGGCAGCCATGTGGTGGATGCGCTGGGGAATGGTGATGGTCCCCGCCGAGGATGAGCCGGCGCTGCCCGAGCTGCTCCCAGCAGAGCTGACAGGGGATGGGCTCAGGGACATGGGCGAGGGGGTTTCTGTGCTCCTGCAAGAGGCAGAGAGAGAGTGAGTTCCCCTCACACCTCCCCATTTCACTGCTGTCCTAAATGCACCTGAAAAGTGCACCCCAGTAAAGGGGGAGCGTGCAGGGGTACCTCCTGACTTCATGAGAAAGGACACCTTATCAACTGGGAATGACTGAAATTAAAAAGGGATTTAATTCTTCCTTTAAATGAACCAGTTATTTAAAAAAAAATCTATCATAAAAATAGAGCAATCTTTCAGAGAAAGAAGCATCTCATAGCCGTAATGATTTTTCTACCTGCTGCCAGAAGCTGCAATGGCAGTTAGAAAACACTCAATGTGCAATATTGGCTTATTATCAAAGTATTTTCTGGAAACCACAATGACAGTTTGCTCCAAAAACAGTCACCACAATAAGTAAAGAGCAAGTCTTAAAAGCACCCTGTAGAGCAGTATTAGGACCTGAGGGTACTGCAGGATTATGAATATCTCCATAGGATTCTTTAAGGCTATGGAGATTTGCTCTAATTGCCTACTGTTCATCCACACAGTTCTGCACAGCGCAGTGTTTTAAGTTACCTACTTAGTGAGGCACTAATGTTCTAATATAGATTTTCCTTTAATTCTAACACCATCAATTAGGAATCACCTGCTGGCTGCAGGCAGTGCAGCGGTCAGCACAGCACGCTCTTGTTTAGAGCTGTGTAGTGCTGAATGCTCACAGAACAGCTATTCTCTTTGAAAATTTATAGGATCAGGGATTTGTTCAGGTTGGAAAATACCTTTAAGATCATCAAGTTCAACAGTTAATCCAGAACTATCAAGTCCACCAGTAGCCCATGTCCACACATTCCATGTTACATTAAGACACTTCTAAATACCTCCAGGGAAGGCAACTCAACCAAGTCCCTGGGCAGCCTATTCTAGTGTTTGATGACCCTTCTAGGGAAGAAATTATTCCTAATCTCCAATCTAAACCTCCCCTGGTACAACTTGAGGCTATTGTCTCATCACTTGTTACTTGGGAGAAGTAAAAAGAGCCACCCTCCTGCCCAACTTGGTGTCATCCACAAACTGACTGAGGGTGCCCTTGATCTCTTTCAAGATCAAGGGGGCTCCAGATAATCAATAAAGACATGAAACAGTACCAAGCCCTGGGGAACATCACTGGTGACCAGCCCCAGCTGGATGTAATTTCATTCACCCATTTGGAAGCACTTGCCTAAACAAAAGCATTCTATTTGCTGTGGAACACACTTGAGATGCAGGGCCAAGACACTCCTGGCACTCTCTGCATGGAGCAAAGAGACCAAAACTCTCCAGACAGGGATGTTGCAACCCCTCCCTGGACATGCAGCTGTAGATGCCTCATGCTGTGCAACAGCATCAAGCCCAGTCACTGAGCTGATCCAAAGGCCAGGACAGGAGGGCTTGGCCTCTTGGCTTTAAAGGCCACTGTCTATGGCCCTGCCTGGGCACAGACCTGCTGACACCTCCAGGTGCTGCAGGACAGACTGACACGGTGTCACAGCCTTGGGCTGAAAGGCATCGATGGCAACAGCTTTTGCTGCAGATTTTCCAGCAGTGCCTGCTATTACCTGTGCTCAACAACAGGCCCCTGTGATACATTCTTTTTCCAGAGCTGGAGATCACATTGATTTGGCAGCTTGTAGCTTTTTACCCAGCTTATGGGTTAGAGTTTAAGCATGTCCTAATGCACAAATACTTTATTTTTAAGTCTCAAAAGATCCTGGTTACCTGACTTGCCACAGTGTCTTTATCGCACAGAAGAGCTGAACTATACTAGATTAGGTCTGGGAGCAGTTAAAAATGATAAGTATCTGAGGAGACCAAGAGTATTTTGTTAGAGCCACTTACAACCAGCTGACGCACTTCTGCCAAATAAAGCACATTGTTCATTGGATTTACCCTGTTGTGCACAGCCATTATTACTGTGGTGAGTCTACTAAATCTCTGTATTTTGTGCTTTCTGTCGCTAGAGGTGGGAAACATTTCTGTAATGAAACCAGAGAAAATTTGTTTCATTGCCAGGATGGAACACGGGCCAACTTTGTAGAGGTTCACAACCCTTTCAAACAAGTAGGCAGAAATTCCAGTAAGCCAAGCTGTGATTTTTGATGGATCTGAGATCCTGACTAGACTACACACCATGGCAATGATAAGCTTTGCTTTGTTAAAGAAAAATACTTGAGATTACCCCACTGTCCCCCATCCTGCACCAGGCTGCTGCTCCACCTCCAGTGATGCCATATGCTGGAAGGTGTTTGGTCTTTTTTCTGTGGTGTGTGAATTCTCTTCCCATCTGACACAAATTTGCAGGGGATTAAGAGGAAACTGCAGAGCAAGTAGCCCTGGGGAAGGCAGAGCAGAAGCTGCCAATGGCAGTACCAGGTCTGTGACAAACCTTGGAGGAACGAGGAGCCACCTGAGAGAGATGGCAGCTCTGGGCCAGCTGGAGAGCTGCTTTCTTCTGAGACTCCACACAGAGGGGACACAAGGCCTGAGTGTGGGCTGTGCTCTCTGTGTGCTGGGACACAGGTGTCACAATAATGCTGTTATAACATGGCCTTGTCACTCAGTTACTCTCACATGTCAAGTGCTTCCTGCTCTGAATAGAGGACAGAGATGTGCACTTTCAGAGCTTTCCTTCCTTATCTCCAAAGTTAGTGGGAACAGACTGATCAGCTGGGTGTTATGTTGGAAGTGGTGCTGACCTGGGGGCTGGGTTTCTGCTGCCTGCTTTGTGGCCAGACAAGAATTTTCTCCTCCAGTCAAAACCCACTTATTCTCAATCCTGGACACCTAATAGCTCCTTTAAATAGCGAGGGAGATGTCATCACCTGCAGAGCACACACTTCATAGGGGTCTATTATAGGACAGGAATAAAAGGATAACTTCTGCTTCATGAAATGTTTATGCACAAGCCCCTTCTTAAGGAACAAAAGAGATGTTATGCTCCAGTGGTCTATTTGATCACTAAAACTTTATGTTAACATTTATGTATTTTTATTACAATACAAGGTTTCACTGACACTTAAATGCCTGGAAAAACTGGCGCATAATGAATAATTTAATTTAGTAGTTGCTTTTCCAGTGTTAAAATATATTTTCAGTTTTTATTTAAAGTGATTTCTTATTTAATCACTTTAGCTTGTGTTACAATCTATACTTTAATAGCTCTATATATACCTATTCAAAATAACTGAGTGTTTGGGGTGTGAATACATACCTATACCCCAAAATATTTTCAATTATTTGAGGCAATATTTCACTTTAAGCAAAATGTTGGAATTTTTGGTTTTGCACTAATTGAGAACAAAGTCTATTTGAAAACTTCAGTTCTTTGTGTGCTAAACTTCAACCCCTCCTTCTTTGTTTCCCTGGCGTGTCTAATAGCCATTTCTTCTTCTGAACCACCAGAAAGAGACCATTAACAATAATCATTTTCACTTAGAATTTAGCCTACTTAAATAAAGATGGAAAAAAGGCAAAGTCATTCACCTTTGTCTTACTTGTGTCTGGATGAGTGACCAGGACAAAGAAGCAGGAGAAATGTGTGTCAGCTGGCAACAGCTATTGCAAGATAAAGGCAAGGATGCAGCAGCAATGCACCTCCTCTGATCATAACTGCATTACCCTGACTTCATATCTGAGGTGAGGGTGTTTTAACGTTAATATGAAGGCACTGATAATTGGCTGACTAAGTGCCTTCACATTTTCACCACTATTATATACCTTCAGTTTTATTAAACAGCACTTACCATATATCAATGAAATATTCATTGGTCTTTCATTGCTGAACGAATCATTGAAAAATCATTGCAATGAAGGTTAACTTTACTTTGGCTTCCTAAAGTGTCATGGTACTTGCCAGCTAATTAACTGATATTTTTATGGCCTTCATTTGGCTTGAGAAGTAAACTCTCAAAGTATTCAGCACAGACCCACCATGTCTGATTTTAGACTTAAGGAGGCTTTGCAGGGATGAAGGTGTGATTCAGCTCTTCCTTCCTACCCACACTGGATGTCTCACAGGGGGATCTGACTTAGTCCAGTGGGAGCCCCTCGCCCCCATGAGCTCAAGGCAGCTGTATGATGAATTCTGTAGCCCAGAACAGTTTATACATTAGACATGTTTGAAATACACCTGCAGCTCCCAAAACACTGATCCCATGACCTGTCCTTTGCCTTTAGAGGCAGAAAAACACTTCCTCTCCTCTTGGAACCACTTGTTCCCAGACAGAAGTACCCAGGAGAAAATACTCACTTTCCATTGCCGCCCCAAGGGGAGGGGGCCTGTGAGGCTTTTGAAGAGTTCTGTAAGTACAAAACCAAAATGTAAATACAGGTGATGCAAGTACATGAATACTGATGATACAAGGCTCAACATTCCCCCTTTTCATTGCAAGAGCTACAGTGCATGGAGCAGAAAAGCTCTGCACACTGGTCCCATAATTAAGTGGCTGGTGGATGATTGGTAGGTTCCAACCAGTAGCTTAAAAATAATTTGATAAAAGAGAGAATAAATTCCAGTAAAAGCAGATGTAGGTCCCAAAGAAGTGGTTTAATTACCACTGAAACTTATTCTACAAAGTAAGTTCTTCAGAGTGAAAATGACTGCTTATCTTTAGAGGGACCTTCACTATTTTAATAAGAAATAAAAATAATTTGGCTTGATGTTTTAATGAAATTGATCCCTCCCAAGTTGCTTAGGGAAGGTGGCTTGGGATTCAGACAGTAGTATAAATAAAATTTTTAGTAAGGATCTGCTTGAATGCTTTTGTTTTTATATATTTTAGTTGCACAAATTGACTTTCCTTACCTGCTTACTCATTCTGCCTTTCACGTCTGTGTAGCACCTTGTAAAACCCTGTACAAAAAGATTGCCGAGCAACAATAAAGCCCAGGTCTTTCCAGCCTTGCTCAGACTGACTGGTATCTTAGTTCCCATACAAAGTGGCAGTATCAGGGCTGAGGCTATCTGTGTGTGCCCTCTGAAAACAATCATTCAGCTCCCTTGCTGAGAAGTCAGCACGCACAGTGAAAATTCAATCAAGTTTTACAAGTTCTCTGCAAAGTATTTCCCACGTTATTACAGCCCTCATCTGGTCACTGTAATCACTGTTTTGCATGGGAGGCACAGAGATTCAGTGGAGCACAGACAGTGGAGCACAGACTTGACTCTAAAGCACAGCTCACAGCCCAACATTTCTGACCAAAGCAGAACACATTGTCCAAACCACAGCACTGGCCTGGCCATTCCTGGACAGCAGCCACTGCTTGTCACAGAGGATGTGGGCATGACTGGGGGTGTTTCACAGCACAGAGCATACGGAGCTTACGAGGAAAGAGTGACATAAACTGCCCTGGAAACTCCTCAGAAATGGAGAAGAAGCTTTTATTGTTAATTTCTCCTGTCTGGGGGTTGCCCCCAACAGTACCTGGAGACAAATAATACCTCTGTCAAGATTAAGATTAGATCTCAATGGGAAGCAGTTATTTGATAATGAGAATATTTAGCAAAAATATTTCAGTGACTACTGACAACACATTTTAAAAAACATGAAAATCTTCCTCAAACTTTCAGAGGAAAAACATCACAGGATGTCACTTTTTGTAATCATAAAAGGTCTGATTTCAATTTAAAAAAATTATCACTTTAGTGGTGTTTTACTCCAAGTTGCCTCTAAATTTCAAAATTGCTTTCATGATTAAATGGCTATTTTCTGTTTTGAAATGTTAAAAGTATCATTTTGAAGCTTTTAATTGGAAATTAATCAGAACCAGTTCTGTCCACAAATGGTTTCAATTTGGACAAAGTGGCATTTGTGAGGAAAAATATAAAGAACAGTTTAGCTGAAAAAATCCTCCCCAGCTCTGCTGTAAACAGTGGGCTGCTTTTCACAGTTAAAATTGTGTAAAAGTTTGAATAACAACTCTATTCAAACAGTTAATCTGTTTCATTTGTATTACAGATTCTTGCTAGTGAACACAGAGAAAATGGTGCAGCAATACAAAACTAACACATAGTTAATAGCTCCCATTCTTTTCTTTTCTCCTCCTGTGCCTCTATTACAGAAAGAACCTGAACATATAATCTGTATCCACTCAAACCCTGCTTCTAGCAAGTGAGTTACAGTGCCATAGCACACACACTGTAACATTAACTGAAACACTTTGCTTCAACTGCATGCCTATGCCTGGCACTCCTGATTCCTCTATTTTATTGCATTTTTATTTTTTTCTCTGATTTTAATTTACATTGAAGGACATTTTCTTATGCTGGGAGTAGTAAATATGTTCTTTATCTTACCTACTTGCACAGCTAGAGAAAATAAAGCGGCTTTAAGGACAGAGAATCTCTCCTGCTCCCACCTATTTTTTTTCTTTAAAGAAATCATTACTTTCTGCAGAAAAGGTTTATTTGTCTAATAATCCTTTTTTAAAGATACAATCTACATTCAACCTGGATAAAATCTGAAGTAGCTGGAATACATTTCATGAAAATGCTGAGGTTACAAATGTGTGTAGCTCAAATTTAATTTGTTGTGCAAATCCCTGACTGAAAACTCCATGAGCACAACACAGGCACTCCTAATGGTACAAGAGAGTCTCCATTTAAGCACAAGATTAGGACTAACATTACTGGAGCTGCACAGAGACACACACAGGGGACACGTGGGTAGTCAGGACTGTGGCTGCTGCCATCTCAGAACTGGAGTTTTACAGCAGAAGGACAATTTTATCACCATTTACATGAAAACATGAAAACTGCAGTGTTAAAGGTTTTTATTGGTTTGCAGTACCAATATGTCAAAGCCTTGAACAAATTCACAGAGGTTGAAAACACCAACAATAAAAGACTGATGGGCTGACAAGCCAGTATAATTACATAATTATAGAATAATATGTAGTAATAAAGTAAAAGAATTAATGTATGCTTCAAACAGCATTAACCAGTGAAATATAAATATCAAAACCTCACAGCTGAAGAAAGATTCTATTTCTCTCCTGATCTAGGAACAGTGAGGATTTGTCATTCTTACTGGGTAAACAGCATTTGACAAAGTAAAATGAAACATCCCCAAGTCATGACCATCAGATCTCCACTCAATTTAAGGTAAAGGCAAACCTTTTTTCAAGATGTAGATAAGGTAATTTGAAGTTCCACAGGAATAAAAGAATAAATCTCTGAAACTGCAATAATCTTCAGGAAATCTCACTGAATCTAAAATCTAAACTTAACTAACTACAGCCCAAATAATTGCTTTATTATGGTTCATTAGGGGTCAGTTCATAATCACTTGCACATTGAAACCTTGAAAAAATCAGAAACTTGCATAAACATTACATGGTGTTGAGAATAATGTTATTTTTGTAGAATTACTGAGTATGGTCCTTTGAATCAAGTGACTAATCCAAAAATCCCCCAAATCACTTCTGTCCCCATTCCCTGGCAGCCATCCTGCCTGCATTTCCCAGGGGAGAGGTTAAATGTGGGACTTTTAAGTCATGCAGTATACTTGTGAGAGCTCTCAGTGTTGGTATGAATTTCATTTCATATCAATAAATTAAACAGAATAAAGATTACCTTAAAATATTCCATCAGAGATCTGGAGTACTTCATAGCATGGTCCTTCTTTAGTTTAAACATTCTCAAGTAGAGAAGTGATAAGCATCGGTAGCTGTGGTAATTAGGAAAGGATTATGTTAATTCCATTGCTTAATGAAACCTATAAACTTAAAAAAAAAAAAAAGCTGACCTATATTTTGCAGTCTCTGTTCTAAGGTTACGTTTTGAAACATAAGCAAATGGAGAAAAAAAAAAAAAGTGGTCAAAAGCATTAAAATCCCATCTTGATAAGAGTATAAATTAGAAGAATAAATGTTTAGTCAGCTGCTGAAGAAATCCATTAGTTATCCTTTAATAGTTTAATGGAAAACAAGAATAATGATCTTCTGTAAGCTGCTTAAGTAATTCAGTACTTTTAAAGTCCTCCTTAAGATTTTAGCTGCTTCTCTCATTGTCGCAAAGGGACTTACCATAAAACTGCTAATTTCTTGTCCCCTTCTGTAGCAGAAGAGCCTGTGAAATTCTTGAGTCTCATTGCATACCTTGTCAGAAAGGTGAGAGAGAAGAAACTGAGAGTTAAAATGTTTCCAAAAATAATCAGATATTCTTCTCCAACTGCAACAGTTATTGGTCGCAGTGTTCTATAATGAAGAGATCCATGTAAAACTCAACAGAAAGCATCACTTAAAATCTGGAGGCCTTAAGTAAATCACCAACCAATTTTTTGGGCCAACAAGGTGAACTATTCTTGGGCATATTAATGATATTATATCCAGCCAACTAGGCTGAGTGCTGCAAACACTTGGGATGAGTGTTGAACAGAAGCATAAGATCTTGGCCTATAGGTAGTGAAGTATAAAGTAATATATAATGTTTTACATATAGTACTTTGGGCTTGAATAATATCTTCAAAATTGTTCTCATAAATATATTTTATATAGAAAATGGTTTTACATACAGGAAAGGTCACGTTCACAGCTTTTTTCATTCTTGGGCTCATTAATTTATGAATCTTGTGTACTTGGTCGTCCCTCTCTATTTAATTGCTGCTGTCCAACATTTGGATGATCAGGGATTGAGTATTCCTATTTTCCTCTGTCTTTTTTTTCCTTTAACTGAGCACACTCCATTCTATGCATTAGTCCCTTGAAAATCAATTCATCGCATAAAATCATTGTTCTGAGCCCTAATGCAATTTCACAGGTACTTGTGTTAGAATAAGTAATAGGGTTCAGCCTTGCGTAAGAAAGTTTTAAGGTATCCAGGCAGTCCTGATGAGCTCCCATTTACAGGCAGGTAATGGTGTGCAGGCAGTGAGCTGCTCTCCCCTGCCTGGCTCCCAGCACCCATCCCAGCCCCAGGCTGCAGCTGCACCACCCAGCTGGGAGCCTCCTCCACATCCTGTCCCACCTGCTCTTGGGTGTTGGGGTTCTAGTCAGACTGGATGGATGTGATCAATCACAAAGATCTGTGTATCTTTGGGACTTCAGCACTACCACTAAATTAAAACACATTTGACAGTCAGATCTCTGATAGTCCCAATCTCTTTGATGCTCCACTTGCTTTCACAAATAGGAGTCTGATGCAGATAGTCAGGGCAGACACAGCTAAATGCAAAAGGGGAAAATTGTGCTTCTGATGAAGGGAGGAGTAAAAGTGAGGAAAATTTCCCTCTGTTTGTTATCTCACAGTAAAAACCTATGTTAATATTAGCAGTTGCACTGAGAAAGGGTTGTGTGTACAGCCACATACTTTGTCTGTACATCCAGCACCCACTGTAGCCCACAAGAATTGTGTCTTTGTCCATGGAGCTTTACTGAGCCTGTACCAGCCTGCTGCTCACCTGGGCAATCCTTTTGTCCATGTCTGACCACTGACAGCAATTAAATGGACAAATCAGTCTCACTGGCTGCCACAAGATGCTGCATGCAACAGTCAGTGAATTAAACTCTACTTTTGGTGGTAGGTGGTGGAATTAATTTCACCTGACTTAAGCTATTTATATATTGGAGATCTAATATAACATATTCTCCAGATTCTTCCAAAACCAAAAGCAGTTCAGGTGCTGCTTCCATGCCAAGGTCTACCTGTCCCCCAGCCTGCAGCAGGACTGTGCCAGGAGCAGCAAGGCAGCAGGGCTGTTGATGCTGAGGAGTGCCAGCCACCCCAGGACAAACTGTGCCCTCACCTGACTCCCTGCAGGTCCTGCCCTTTTGTGAGCCACTCCTGGAGCTGCCATTCCCTGATTTAAGTGGTTCACATGTTGTGGGTAAACAAAGTTTTTGTTCTGTGCACTCTGAACAGACAAACTGCTGGACTGAGGAGCAGTGATTACAACTGGGCTGCATGGTTTTCTTAAAAAAACAAAAATAAACCCAGGCTCCTATGAAGAAAGGCTCCCTTCTTTAAATAATATTTCTTTAAATAGAATTTATTCTGCCATGCAGCTGCAGCTGTGTAGTTCAGGACATGCTGTCAGACTGCAGGATGATTTGGGCACAGCAGAGCAGAGGCAGGTGGCTCCTTTTCTAAGTCCTCTGCTCTCCAGGGTTTAACATGGATCAAGTGTTGAGTGAACACAATTTTTTTCTTGAGTGATTGCTTTAGATTTTTTTCCTCCCTTTATGAAGTGTAGAATGTAAAAACCATGTTTTTAATTATTTAACAGGCATATTATTTACCTGAGAGTAAGAGCTTAAGATTTGATACATTTTATTATGCAAATACCTACTTATTCAAAATGTAAAACATGCATTATCTTGGCAGTCCCTAATAGCTAATCTGGCATGTTAAAAAAACCACCGTTGACATATTAGAAACCAAATATTTAGGGCTTGATTTGCCTCTTTTTCTTTCACTTCTGCAAACTGCCAGTAATTACACTGACATTAACAAGGATATTCCCAGCATACACTGGGGAAAGCAAAGGTGCATCACAGTGAAGAGGAAAAATCCTGTTGTTCTACTTGCAGGTACATTTAATCCTGCTTGATTTCACTTTGATAATTTGCTCAAGTAAAGCAAACTTAGTTACTCAGGAGATTATTATTTCTATGGACCCAAGACTATGAAGCAGCTATAAGGAGCAGTAGCAGATTTTAGAACAATAATTCAGACATTTTATTAGTATGTAAAGACTCTCTTATCCATATTCTAGCCTATGAGTCTACAAAACTGTATTAAAATTAATTCAGCTGGTGCACATTCCTGTAACATTAAAAATATACTGTTTTCAAGACAATATATGCAGAAGCTTCCTCTCTGGCTCTGATCTTCTATCCCAAGTTTCACTTTTTGTCTTTTTTAACAGCCAAGTTATAAACCTCTAAAACCAGGGTTTGTAATAGAAATCCTGATAGACTCCCTTTAATGTTTTGAATTATAAAACTACACCTTTTAAAAGACAAGTGTCATTGCCAAACAGTGAAATTACTATACTTTACTTCCACCCACTACATTTCAATTTTAATTTTATGAATATTGCAAATTATAACACTCACATTATAACCTCTAAAGGGGATAATTTATAAAAGCAGTGTCCATCAATTATAAATTTTCCATGACATTAATAAAATGGCAAGAACTAATTATGATGACTTCTGAGATGAAGATGCCTTGGACAAATCATTAATACGTTGAAATGGTATTTTTTAAAACATAGCAGGTTCTAATTATGACTGAAATGAGATGATGAAAATGATCACAGAAAGGACATTAACCTGATGAGTTCCACAGTCTCTGAGTACATGGTGTATGGAGATTTAGCTTCTAATGGATCTCGCTCCATAGCGTTCCCGCACTCGATGAAGGAGAGGGCAGCATCAGCATAATTCACTGCCTTGCCGAACTTCTCCAGCTGAAATGGGAAGGACACTGTCAAGAAAATCCTTCAGCTTTGATTTCTAGGTGGGCAAATTATTCTACAAACAACACTAGCTTTAGAATGAAAGCAAAGAGACACTGGTAGTTAGGAATGAATTCATACAGTAATTAAGGCAGGATGTATTTTTACCAAATCTTTTCAGGGCAGTATGGGGCTGAATGCTCCACAGAGGAAACTCAGTGTATGCCCACTGACATCAGGGATTTACACAGGCAAGAAAGGGCACTAAGCATGTTTGTGCACATCCATACTGCTCCTTGACAGATGAACTAAGTTTGAGTGTCACTATGCAAGGGTTAAGTAACAACTCCGTGCCACTTGGCTGATGTCATATTCTGTGTTAACTGTTGATCAAAAAAAAAATCACATCACTTATATGATGAGTAAAAGAGCAGGGAAAAAAAAGGGAGACAATATAGCACTGCTTAATATTTCATTTTACTAGGATTTTATTGCAAAAGGTTTTAGCCCTCATAATGGTTGTGATTAAACTGACTTAGACATACTGATTTCGTTTTTTATGTGTAATGAATATTATATATGACATTTTTATAGTACGCACTTTATAATAGTATTTAACATTTTCAGTTTTTGATAGCTGAATGTAAGAATTCTATTAATGTGGCATTTGATATAGGGGATCCAATATACTTTAAATAATTTAAAAATGTCTTTCTATGTCTCTATCAAAATATTTTTGATGCATCTGCATATGTTTCCATTCGCAAAACAGAAGCCCATTCTAACAACACACAAAGCATAACATTTATTACTGGTCCAAGATAACAGTATACTTGTCTTTGTGGCTCCTGCTAAGCCATAACTAGTTCTCTCTGCCCACCTTTAATTTCAAGTACTGCTCTTGTGCATTGATTACGTACAGAGTTGTAGAATTGATAGATATTAACTGAATGAGCAGAAAAAGGGAAATGTTTCTGACTGCTCTCTCTCTATTCCAGTGGCTGCTTCTCAGCATATTCTTCAAATTCCTTTTCTCACTTTGGAAGAATTTCCATTTCTTTTGGAAGACAAAAAGTCTTCCAAAGATGACTTTTTTGTGGTATGGAAAAAAGAATCTGGCTGCAAGCAGATTTAGTAGAGACACAGAATTTGAGCCAGGAACGGGATCTGATTCTCTGAAGAAGGTGGAATTATTCCAGCTCGTCACATCTCAGACAGGCACACAGTGAGGTCTCCAAGATCTCTTCCATATGGTACAACCCACCCAAATTAGCTTATCCCTTCCTGCAGCCCCAGACAAGGAGAGGTTTCCATGGGGTCGCTCCCATAAGACATGAAACGTCCTGCCCTTCAGCAGAAATCTATTTTCTCTACAAGCTCAGGAACACTGCTGCCACAAATCTCATTAACATTTGCTGACACATTTTGAGGTCACATGCATTATCTTTCTAGCCACTGCAACACATCTTTCAATGCTGCCTGTGCTCTGTCATGTCAGCACCAAGTAACCAGCAGCAATTGTTTCCATAGGACAAGTAACACTTTGGGATTGCACACCAAATGTGTTACATGGAGATTATTTGTGTGCAGCTGCATTGGGTGGGAAAAAAAAAAGACTTGAGATCTAAATAGCAGAAGGAAAAAGCAGATACTTTGTTCATGGATATTTATGCCTGCCAACAAGTTGATCACAGTGGACGGCCTCACACTGGGGCACTCGGGGTGTCAGACTGTGTGTGGCAGCCAGGACCTGCCTGCAGGCAGCAGAGGGGTGGGCTGTGCCTGCTGCTCTTAGTGCTGCTTGAGGAACACCCAGATGCTGCAGGCACAGGCACAGGTGAGAGCACAGAGAAGGGCAGCACCTTGTGAGTGTGTCTGGCTGCAGAGGGAGGTGAATTGATGGAGCATGTTGAGATCATCGGGCCTGAGCCTGTAAATATTTGCTAGCATGGAGCAGGTAGCCCTGTGCCAGCACCATGTGTGCTTTGTTTAAAGGTCACCCAGCTGTGGGAGGTGTTGTGAGCCTGCAGAGCCAGACTGTGGCTGGATGTGCCCTGCTGAGCTGGCTGGAAGCCATCAGGCCACCTCCTGCAAACAGGCACACTGGGAGGGATGACTGTCACCTTGCTGACAGCCACAACAGGTGCCAAAACCCTGAACCCACCTCACACAGAAAACACACTTGGAAACACTGTGCCCCAAGCCAAAAGGGAGCCTGGAGAGCTGAAGCAGACAGCTTGAAATGTCATTCCTCCTTCAGCTCACTGACAGCAGAGGGAGAGACTTTGTTTGGCTAGTTTGCTTTTAAAAAACATAGCATGTAATTGATCTGGGGATTTTTTAAAGATTTTTTTTTATTTCTAACTGCAAAATCTCTAATGGGTAATGATAGACTATATGTGTAAAACCCCCAGAAATTATGAAGCTGAGAGGTGAATAATCACCCAGCTCTTTGAGGGGCAAAGTGGATGGCCACACTCCATTTTAGACATCTTAGTTAAATTAAGTAGAGGAGTCAAGTTCCACTAAGTCTTCCTGAATGAGCCTCTGTTCTGCATCCTATGTAGCATACAGGAGGAAAAGTCCCTTCCTACAAAGCAAATGTTTATTAAGGACACTTCAGAACTGGCAACAGCTCGTATAGAACAAACCATGATAGAAAACAATCTGTCAGATTATGTAGTTTTATCAAAATCCAAACACTTGGCAAAATTAGGCCCTTCTTACTGGAATTTCCTCTGGGGTAAAGCAAGCAAAAAAGCTTTCCCAGCATTGAACTACCTCACTACCAGATTTTTTTGGGAATAAGTGTGTTGAGACTTTCTTTATCAGGCTAAAACCATGCAATAAAAATGAATGTAGTACATAAAAATGAATTGTTTCAGATTTTAAACAATCAGATTGGAAATATCAAACAGTTTTACCACATGATAATGGGGTGTGAGGTGATTTGCCTGTCTTTCTGCTATGGAATATTTCATCACTTCTGTTTTCGGCTCAAAATGAATAGAAAAACAAATTTCAAGTACACATCAACTTTCATAAAACCATCTTACATACTTCATAAACAGCATGATCGTTGCTCCCCCTTGGAAGAAACAGCAGCTATTGTAAGTAGCTCTTTTTGGGAACAAATACTTAAAAGTTAGGAATGGCATTCAGGGTTTAACTTGTGCACAGTGTTTATGGAGCACAAACTGAAGCACAGTTTAGTCAGTAGCAGAGTTCCTCTTGGTTTGAGAGGTTTCAGATCTTGTGCAATAATGTTCATTTTTTAACACTGAGTTCCACAGTGGAAAGAGACAAAAAAACCTGTGATAACCTACCAGTGCATCTGCTTTATGCTTCAGCTTCTTAGCCTCTTGCATGTAATAATCTGCATTGTGCAGCCTAGAGAGACAAAATAAATTAATTCAAGTCTTTGCTTTCATACAGTTGGAAAAATGTTGTTTGAAAAAAATGCTGACTGCTTTAAAGAAGATTTTTGACATATATACCCACTTATCTCTTTAAATCTTAACCTGATATCAATCTCAAACTGCTGTATGCAGAGATATCATGGGTGACCAGAATGTAAAATAAGTAGCTGTAGAAACTGGTTGCCCAAAGGACCTATTAATGTGTGCTGAACAGAGGAAAAGGAAAAATATTTTAAACTAATTAAGTATAAGAAGTTTCCATTAGAGGAGCTAAAATAAAAAAATGAAGAAGAATTACCGTGAACCAACATTCATGATCTGAAAACATTTATCAACAGAATCTTCATTAATCAGTGACAACAGTTCATTTGCCAAGATTAAAACTGTGTGTGCCTTTGTGCAGCACTATCCACACAGGTGCCCAATGCCAGCACTGTAATCAAAGATATTCTCTTTCACTGGGACCTCTGCTTGCACAAAAATCCCAATCACAGAGCACAAAGTCAATAAAACTTACACATCATCAAATGTTATTTTGGGTCTTCTGGGCTCAGAATTCCCATTGGAAAGCGTTGGCATTGCAGACCAGATGTCTGGTTCTAGATGGCTGGTGTCAAGAAGAGTGTTGGCTGTGGGTGTACTGTGAGATTCTTCCTCCTAGGAAACACAGCACTGTTATTCATAGTTCAAACAAACACCTTCCAACAATGTAAGTGCTCACATCTACCCTCCCTGCCAAAAACCCTTCCCAACAAACCAAAGGCTAAGGCACCAAGCAGCCCACGTAGCTTCATGTCACCTCACCAAACCAGCCTTCCCTTTTTGGTAACATGAGCCTAAGAGATTAATTAGGGAGTACAACTCCACTTCTGGGCTCTCACCTGAACTCAGTAATTTACACTTGGAGGTGTAAGGTTTAGGTGGGTACCATGGTGTTACTGACTAGAGACACTGGTTAAAGCAAGGCTGGGGAGATCTAATGGGCCAGGCTAGATCTAAACTCAACTTCTTCAAGGTGTATCACACTAATGGAACCTTTTTTTCTATATTACTAGGAGCTAACTGTTAATGTGGCTGAAGAGTCTGCTTGGATTTCAGCAGGGAACAATTTCCTCTCTTGCTACAGAAGGAAGAATGGAAAGCAGAAGTCAGTTGTGACTTTGCAATGATTAAAACCAGAAGCATAACAGAAGATTTTAAATCAGGCAATTGCAACTTGCAAGCTTGGTCCCCAACCAGATAAACTAAATTACAGATGAACCAATGAACTAGGGAAAGAAGTCTAACATATTTTAGGGGAAAAATATTTCTTGCATCAAGATAATAGATTAACAAAGGATAAATCTGACTAGAGATGCTGGGATGAGATGAAGAGGCCCTGCTGTTTACACAGCACTGTTTATTTGCTGACATATGCAGTTCATTTTGGCACTGATTTCAGTTGAAGGCGTGTGTATTACTGGCGCAGCTTGAAGTGACACAATGATATCAGAAAGCAACAGGGATGAATGAATAAGGTGAAGTGATTTGTCACCTACAATTCAATGCAACTTGTGAGTTTTACTATTACAGTGCAGGGTAACAACCTCTCTCAAAGTGGTGAACTGTGAAAAATGGGGCTATGCATGGCCTTTTCTGTGGCAGAATTTTCTTCTTGTTTTTTAATTTTGACAGTGATACTAAGATACAGTTTGATAATGTAAAGAAAGGATGGGTTTGAAACTCTAGAGGAAGGACTATTTTCTAAAAGGGGCCAAAACCCTGGAATTTCTCTGTTTAACCTAAAAAGAGGATGACAAACCAATGTGAAATTTTATGTTGTTTTAGTGAATTTGATATGCAGGTTTGGCTCTTTTTCATGTATTTTCAGAAAAAAACCTACCTGAATCTGGTGAAAAGCAAGCAATAAAGAACCGTCTCTGTGAGAACCACTAATGGGGAGATGGCCCTAAGAGTGTGATATTCTCGGGGGAAAAAACCCCAATTTATAAATTGTCTGAAAGGTTACAAATCATTAATGAAGACTGAGCATAAATAAACCTTACTGTTGTGAGCCTGAAAACCTGAGAAAGGTTATTAACATGCTGAGTGTACTATGGACAGGATTTTTTTGTTATATTGTTATTGTCTGTTCAGTTTAGGCCATAATATTCAGTATGACTACAGTGCTTAATTCTGGCTGAGAATTTGGGGCAGTAATTCAGGTGATATTCTGGAAGTTTTATTTTCAAAATGTGAGTGCTGCAGCTACAGAGTTAAGGGACTAATTTCAGCTAGCTGATGGCTGCAAAGGCTCTTCTCTGAGGCTCAGGGTCCAGGTGCTTCAGGGAATGATAGACAACACCAAGCAGATGCCTAATGCTGACCTAAAAATGGAGCTTGCAAGAGCTGTTTATGCCTGGCTCTGCACAGATCCACTCCCCCTGAGTGGGGCTACATAAGCATTTAGAAATACATACTGTGTGGGAAAAAAATCCAATAGAATAAATCTGAACTGATTCCATTTCATCTTGTTCACCGCCACCAACGGAGGCTGGTTACTTACACAGATTCCTTTGGGGTTAGAAGAAGATTTATTTTCATTCTTTCTGTGTTTAGAAGCAGAGGAGGAAGAGCTGCTGGTCTGTGAGGCGTTAGTGACAGTGGGCTCCTGGCTGAAGGAGCTGTTGTCACTGCTGTGCCGCCGGTGCACAGGGTCGTCCAAGAGCGGGGACAAGGGAGGAGGGAACAGCTTCTCTTCTCTTTTCTTTGTCACCTTCTTCACCGAGCTACTGCTGCTCCTGGGACACACAGAAAAACCAGTTGCACTTCAAGAATATTGGTTAATTCTCCACAGCACAATGCTGCACTTTTCATTTACAGAGAAGCCAGCTCTGCCCTCCAGTCTGTCCTGCAGTCCCGTGCCCTCCATGGCGAGGCACAAGGGGACAGCAGTGAAAACAGAAGAGCTGCTTCTGCCTTTTCAATGACTGCAGAAACCTTCTGCTTTGGAGGACAACTTGCAGTGCATTAGTACAAATTGCACCCAATTTAAATGCTAATTTGAGTCAGTCTTCATTTGAGAGGTCATAGAGGTTCTGACTCAGCAAAGTGCTGGAAAGTTTTATGCACAGGGTTAGTTCCTTTGACATCAAGTATGACTATTTATGTGTTTAACATTAAGCATCTTTTTAAGAGGTGGATTAGGGCTCACAAAAGCAACCTTTGCAAAAAACCCCAAACAGCACATGGCAGCATATGAACCAAAAATAGAATTCATAACAACTACAAAATGATAACCATAACAATAACAAGATAATAATTATTTAACCTTTAGAATAAAGCCAACATTCAACACTATATTAAAATGATACATTGTAGCTGGCAAAGCCCTTGAGCAAATATTGGTTGATGAATTGAACGTGATTCAGAAAATGAATGTGGTTTTGACATGAAAGCTCAAGTAACATGATAATCTATTGTCTGTTTTATGTACAGAGACTGTTAGCTGGCTAGCAATGGCAGCTGTGATGCACAGTAAAACCAGAAAAATAAAAACCTACCTGGTAGACCTTTCTCCACTCAAATTCATCAAAAAAGAAAAAACCAAACCCAAGACTTCACTGACTGCTTATCACGTTAATCTACTCATAGATTTTTATTTTAGGCATTGTCCCGGCTCAGTCAATGAAGATAACCTGAATTTTAATCTTTTGTTAGACATCTAATATTGCACTACATGATCATTTACTTTTCATGATTATTGACTAAAATTTCAATAACAAATTAAGTCAACAAGAATTTATGTTTTGTTCCCACTTTCAGTCAGTGTCAGGAATTATTGATCTCCTTTGCCTCAAAGTAACCAGGGAAAGAGGAGAAGGCGACCCAGGTTTCCTTACTTCTCATTTAGGAGCTCTCTCTCATTTCAGTCTGGCCTCTTCTGCAGTTTCACTGACAGTATCAATATCTACACCTCGGTCACTGCCCTACTTGGGACCTTCGGTAATACAGAAATATTTTAGCCTTATCTGTGAAACCACAGAGTGAAATCAAACAAAGTCATGTTTTATAGCTCCTCTACCCAAAACTACTTTAATTCAACTGAAGCAGAGTTAAAATATCTTATTTGAAACCCTCTGATATTAAAGATCTTCAGACTGAAGAAATAAAACAAGCTCAAATTCATATTGCCTTATGGATGGATGCTGTCCTTCTTGGAAAACACATGGGTCTGAAGAAGATCAAAGGCAAACAACCATGTTGGACTAGACCAGCAGTTCTTAGAGGAGACTGATTTCATGCACATGTGGTCCTGCAATATGTCCTCCAGAAAGTTCTCACTCAAAGCTCCATCTGTTTGCTTTCTGACCCCCAAAAGGCATTTTGGAGCTCAGACAAGTTACCATAGTTATAGCTCACAACACTCTGAACTTTTTCCAGAGGAAAATTTTCCAAAGGGGGGGGGAGCACTGCCCTGACAAAGCACACACGTGTTCTTGGATTGTACAGCAGCAAAGAAGACACAGTTAACCCACAGAAGCATCCAGGGGCAGAACCCAAGCCCTCTGCCTCCCAAGCACATGCCCTACACAGGGAACCCTGAACATGCACTCACAGGGGGAACAAAGTGATTTTCTGTGCCACTGTGCATGTAGGAGTTTGCAGCTCTTCACTATCTAAAACTTCACCAGTTCACTTCATCTTTGGGCTCAGATATAAGATGGGGCAAACCAAGGAACAGGTGCAGCTACTCAACTCTGGCACATAAATCACTCTGAGGCTTGGAAAAATTAACCACAAAAAAAAAGGCTCTAGAGAATATTTTTTCTACCTAATTTCTGTTTAACTCCGCCCCCCCATAAATACAGTTTTAATTGTCTGTTGGGTTTTTTTCTTTTTTTTTCTTTCCCTTGCCCACTTAATTCTATAAGTTTTTGCAGGAATTAAGCTGATAATTTATTTAGCAATGTTACCTCCCTCAAATTTACACTAAAGCATTTATGCTAACAATAACCTCCATGAAATAGGTTGTTACCAGCAGTTAACCAGATTGTCACTTTGCTCTGGGCTGTTAATGGCCTAAGAAACTGGTCTTTGATTGCAGGAATCGCTAATTTTGAATGAATTTATTGCAATAATTACCAAGACTCAATGGTTTAATTTGCTGACATGATTGTTAGTTAAAATTATTTAAAATCTAGGGAGAAACACAAAGTGCACTGAAAAACTACAAGCAGAACTGATGGTCTTTTGGCTTCAGGGTTTTAATCTTTTGTGTCTAAAACAGGCCAATTATCAAAGAAGGAGATGGTTCCCCATCTCCTTTTTTTTTTTTTTTTTCCAGCCTGTTTTTTTTTAGGGCAGAAAGCAAGCAAGCAAGCAGGCAACTAGAGGTCATTGCATGAAGAAGGGAGAATTTCCAGCTACTCTGATGTTTCAAGCTGCTTTTCTTTGCCCCTTTCTTTATCCACTCCTTGTGGTATGCAGTGGTATCTCTGGCCTGGGAGTGAGACAAAGCCACTGTCTTTGCCAGGAACTTGGTTTTTCTTTTGCCTCTCCCCCTCTGGCCCACAATGAAATACTGCAATTGATGGTGTATCTGACTTTCTGCAGGGGTTTACAGGGAAAGGTCACTCCCACATTGGCCTGGGCCATATGGCAGCACCTGAATGGAGCTGAAGTCATTGTCATAGATGTGAAGGCTGCCTGTGCCATGAAGGAACCCCCCTTGAATGCTGCTGTGACTACCCAAGGGATCAACTAATATGTATTGCCAAGGAGAGGTGCATCTTCAACTAAAGGTTGAAAACAAAAGAGAATGGGAAATTTTGAAAAACAAAAATGCAGAAATGGTTGCCTCAGACAGATTTCTAGCATGCCTGCTAAATGGTGGGCATGTCTCACTGGTATGAGTCCAGTTTGACTCACAGTTTGCATCAGCAAATAATTCCCTGTGCTGCTACAAAAAGCCAAACACTGGTGAGTATTTGGTAAGTCCAGTCTCTGCCTGGACTGGGTCTACCAATCAAATATTCATCTATCAATGGGATTCAGCAGCACAAACAATTAATGCTTAAATTAAAATTTTTCTGTCAAGGAACTAAATACAAATAAGTAATCCTCTGCTGCAAAGCAGGCAGTTGATCTGACAAAAATTCAGCTTCACAGAAGTGCTTCAATGTATTCCTATAAACACACTGAAACACCTATTCCTTCATTTGCTATAAGTATCAGAAATAAGGAAAATACAGTGGCAATAGTTTGAACAGTATATTTTAAGTGTCACGTCAGATTTAGGAAAAGGCATCAGCCCCTGAATATGTGAGGGAAGAAACAGAGAGATAATTACAGCTTATGCAATGACTACACAATACAAAACTGCTCTCTAGTTGTGCAGATGCCTTTTAAGTTCACAAGTGGCCATTTGAAATTTCTAAACTCAAATTGTACATGTAGTCACAGAAACTTGTGGAAATTAGGCATATAATGGCCCTTATTAGACACGTGACCCTTTAAAGATTAATTGTGCATCTTTGCTTGCTTTGTTGAGCCCATATATTTAGGGGAAGATTATAGAGAAATGTATCCAAGTGCCTAAACCACAGCAAGGCAGGCACTGGGAACTGTGAAAGAACAGGTGTGACCTGTCTTTGGCTGATTGCTCCAGACTCCTGAATGCCTCCCAGTTTTGGCCCAGATTGTGGTCTTTCTGTCAAAACACTCTTGTACTTTTAAAAAAGCCTAATAAAAATCTCATGTCTGCCTGGGGGAACTTGGCTTATTGGCACAGGGATCAAGTTCTAATAGGAGAGACCTAAGTTTCCTACTAAGTGACAACATCCACCATGGGACTTAACACCTCCTTAAGGGATTGAAGATCATCATCACACCTGTAGCTGACTCACCCTCATTTCTTAAAGTGCTTATATAGAGAGTTCTAAAAGGAAACTTAGAACTTCTGGGAATAAAAGACCAAATGGCAAACCCTGTCTTTCAACCTTTTACCCCCGAAGTGTTATTTTCCCCCATGGCCTTGAACACTGGACTTTCTTCTGCCTCCCCTTAAAAATTTACTCAATCTTCTGGAGAACAGAATCACTCCTGACTGCTTAAAAATGAACGTTTAAATTTCTAGGAAATTGTCTTCACACAGTTCATTCAGCTCTCTGATCTTTTGAGAAATACATTGATCTATATTCAGTTGCATGTCTATGGGAGTTGAAAACCTGAAGTGAAAACCTGAATCAAAAAAAGTATTGCATTTTCTTCAAGCAAACTCAGAAAACACTAGTAACAACAAAGGCAGTGTGATCCAGGTCTTATTGAGGTGGAAAAATAGTCAGAAAATTTTGTTTCAAAACTTCAGGTAGATGAGAGAAAAAGCTAGTATATGGAAATAACTATTGATGGACACAATTATGTTTTAACAGAGAATACCCAAGGGTTGAAAGCTCTGAGGAATCAAATTAACGACCTGGAAAACAAGCTCAAATTAAGAAACATCAGGTTGGGGGTGGATCCTCAGGGCCTGATGGTGACAAGAATAGAAAGATTTTTTTTAATGGATTGTGGAGGTGTTGGGGATGCATAATCCTTGATTCCCTCTGCAATATATCTCTGCTCATTGTATATCCAGCAATGACAATCAGGCAACACCCATCATGATGTTTATCAAATGTGCAGCATGTTACAGATCCCACTGTAACTTCCATCTTCCTTTTCCAGACTCCAACTCTGATTTTCTCAGTGGCTGAATGAGTGGCTAATTCACAGACTGATGTTACTCCTTATTGACACCAGAATAAATAAAATGATGCTCAACCTTTCTTTAGGGATTTTAAAATTAGTGTGCTGTTTCATAACTTGTTTTTGAACTTTATCAAAATTTACCTATATTATCCTCAAATTGTTTTTAGAAACACACTATGATTTTGATTCTTTGCTTATCCTAGTGCAAAGCAGAAAGAAGCACCTCATCTCAAAATCATAAAAGCACGAAATAACAAAAGGGAATTGGACTCTTTGGCTATTTATAGAATGTTAACCTTGTGACTCTATAATCAGAATCATTATTTATGTGGCACCTGTTTGTTCAAGCATTATAAGCACCTCTGAAAGACACTCTGAAAGGCACAAACTATTGGATGGTGTGTCTGCTGAGATACAAAGCACGTCTGAGACACCTGGGATGGTGGCTCCTGATATTGCTGTATACACAGGTAAAACAAGAGGCAATTTCACTATTTTGTTCAGTAAAACTGGGAACTGTCTCTCATGAAAATTATTTAAAAAATTAATTCCAGGCAATCAAATAAATCCCAATTTTAGCAGGATTCTCTGTCCACAGAGGTTCAAGGTAATAGAGGCAAGAAAGAACATTGAAAGGAGGTTGAAGAGTACACCAGGATTATGGCAACATTCTGAAGTCCTGCAGGCCATCAGAAGGAGGCATGAATCTCATCCAAAGCCACGTGGATCCTCTTACTCATGGATGGGAATACCAAGGCTGTGCCACTTCTGCTGATGGGCTGTAAAGCCCATCTGACTCTACAGCCAAGATATTTACAGAACAGTACTGTGAAATCCCTCAGGAATGTGATGTCAAAAATCCACTTACTCTTTAGTGCTGGTTATTCTGTGGTTTGGAATTGGAGAGATACAAGGTGGGAGCAGACAGGAAGCTGGAGGCTCCTCCAGGCGCTGCTTCTTGCTTTCCACAAAGGTGTCCAGGCTTTCTGTCTGCTGTAACAAAACATGGCAGAGCATCAAAGAGCCAGCACTTATGCACAGCTTCCCTGGCCATCCAGAGGACCTATGGAATCTCAGTGTATTTCCTTTACAGCAGCAGCAGTTAAACTACTGGTCTAGGAGAAGTCAAAGTCACCTGAAACCAGGGCTAAACGTGCTCCAAACACAGGACATGGAGTTCTATAACAAGTGACATAGCAGATAATTAGGAAGCAAAATGTCTCATGTGCTAAAGTTATCTTCTGGAGTGCACTGGAATTTAATTAATAATTTAGATGCAATGATTTGATAGCACCAAACCTTATTCAAGTAAATAGCTTTTGCTCATTGCTCTAATAGAAGTTGATGGGAAAACCTCTCTGAGTAAGTATTCCTCACAGGACTAGGAGTACAGGACTGAGCTGGGGTAGTCATTAACAGCAATAGCTCATTTGAAATTTGCTTTGGAAGACTCCAATGCATGACTTTTGTGCCTGAGCTAGGATGATACAAACAAAGGTGATTATTGCTCTGTCACTAGAACCTTCATATCAGTCTTCGAGCCCACTAATAGATGGCTAAAATAAATTTTTTAATAGTATGATTTAGAAATTAGTCTCTCCCTACCCTGCTTTAACTCTTGGTATACCCTTAAGTCATCCTAATTGGCTTGTTTCTTGGGTAGCAGTGAACATCACATTACAACATTACAGGGGCTGATTCAGAGTCCAGCTTATGTTAGCACAGCCCAGAGCAAGATTCTCCATTTTGTTACTTTTCTGATTCAAAGTTTCAGTCAAGGAAATGATGAGGTTCCACCTTTCATATAACCCCCCTTATTTATTTTTTCTTCCCTGGGAGCCCTCCCTTTAGTTGCCAATACTACCCTTGTGTTTTAGTCACGATTCCTTCTCCATGATACAGACACTCCACTAAGCTACCCAGCAAGAATTATTTTTGGTATAATTAATATGCACCCTGGTGTACTTAGACATACTTAAGTATGGACATTTATAAATCCCTCTCCTCTTTTTTTCTCCTTCCTTCTTGCATCTCTGTAGTGTGCAGCTAGAATGTAAATTGAATAAAAACCTGCTGAGTTTACTCATGTGATTACTTTCACTTAATTCAGCAGGGAAGGAGCCAGTGCAGTGACTCATTTAGGCAGGGGTGTAGACCCTGTGTCTGCCTGGCATCGTCTGTCTTTGTCTTGCATTAATTCTCTTATACTACTGGACTCCTCAAACTCAGGATTTCAAGAAGTCCTCCAAAACAGACAGCTGAAGTCATATTCACAATGATTTATAAAATTTGGGGTATAAAAAAAATACACTCTGCCTGACTTTTCACAGGCAGACCAGAGTACAAGCATTTCAGCTGGAAAAACTGACTACAAAAATTCATTTAGGATATAAAACCTCAGTTTCTTTTCTGAAAACACATTTAGTTTGAAGTGCAATGTCATATCCCACAAGGTAGGATACCCTTGGGCATAAATAACATAAAACACATGATAAAACATAATGCCTTCAGTCAAAATATATTTGTTTTTTTGGGTAGCTGTGCAGAGAAAGCAGCTCGTTAAGTAAATTATATTTCTATGGATCGTATTTGTTCATATCACAAAACAATACAAAAACTAAATTCACCAGGAGCATAAGCAAGCACCATTCCACCGACTTTGATGAAGCCTGTTTAAACCAGTGGTGAAAACACCTTAATTCTGCAGACAATAAACCCCTCCCTTCCAAAGAGAAGTCACATTTTCTGAGTATGGGTGAAACTGCACTAATACCAACTCATCACTTTCTGCAGTTTACAGAACACTGGAAACTAATAGGTGAGTGAGCAAATACAGTGAAAAACTTGTTAGAAAAATCTCAAAAAATACATTGTTTATTGATTTTTTCAGCTGGGGTTTGCTTTTTGCTAGTTTCTGATGTTAATTTGTAGTGCACTTGTAAATGTCAGTCCTTTGTAAAGCCAATAAAGCCTCAGTGCTGTGATGCCTCCCCACAGCCTGGCTGCAGGTGAGGAATCACTGTCTCTGGTCCTGACCTCGAGGGTGCTCAGAAACAAAAGTGTTTTCCTTTAAACAATGAAAATGACTTACCTTGTGTTTCCTTTTGGATTTTGTGGAGGGTTTTTCAGCTGCTGGGGTGGGGGACTCTCGAGATGGTCTCCTGTGTTTCACATTTGCCTCTCTTGGTTCACTTTTCACAGACGTGGTCTCAAAAGTTTCCTGTCCAGGTATCCTAGAGAGTAAACTAAGGTCTATTTTCACCCACAGAGATTTGAGTTCTTCATATTCTCTCAGTGGGGACAGAAGTTCATTTTGTACTATTGGGATAGGAGAAAAGAGCTGCTCCTCCAGGTCATTGCTGGTCTGGTCAATGGATGTGTTGCTGCCATTGCTGGTTAAGCTACTTACACTGAGGATGTTACTGCCAGAGTCCTTCACTTTGACACCACTGCCAGACCCAGTGCAGGCTGGCAGCACCTTGGCCTGCAAGCTCTCCTCCTGGTCTGTGTTTGAATCAGAAGTAGATGAATCAGTTTCAATGAACTCCCGGGACTTTGGGACAATTTTGCTGGGGCCTCTGTACTTTTTCTTCTCTGAAGTGAGACCTGTGCTAGTTCGTGGTTCTTTCCTTGGAGCTGTCTTCCCAACTGCTGCTTTAGTTCGAACCTTTGGCTGCTCGGGGGGTTCCTGTGTGTCTTTTTCTTTGGGAGTGTTGCTGGTATTATTTGGTTTGGGCCAGTTATACTCTTCTACACTGGAAGTCCTTTCTACCTTTTTGGGTTGCTTTTTCCCAGTAGTCCTTTGTGAAGTTGGCTCATTATGAGCTGGTGACTTCTGCTTGGAGCTTTTTGCCTCTGGGGTTTTCTGGGCAACCCGTGGTTTGGCTTTCTCTCGGATGGGACTGAGGATCGCCCGGTCTTTGGGATCGGTCGGGGGCAGGCTGCTGTTGAGCTTCCCTTTGTTTGGCCCTTCAGCCTGCTGGTTGCTCTGGGCCTGGGAGCTGCTCTCGCTGTGAGGCTCATTTTGATTGTTGATGATGGTCTTGTTGTGGGGGTTCACCTTATTTAGCCATTTATCCAGCTGCCATTTGTTTGTTGAGGGGGGTTCGGGCTGCAGATTGAAGGATGACAAGGAACAAATCTCAGACAGAAGCAGTGCTTTTCCCTTTAAAAGAGAACTTTTTTAATGTACCCTTTTATTTCAGTCAACTAGTGGTGACTGCTAGTTTTATGGGACTATTTATGGAGTATTTATGGTTAATTAGGCTTCCTTATCTGGTTTACAACGTAGCCCTGGAGAAATTTAATACAACTAAAAAGTTTAGCTAGTCCCTGAAGAGATAGTTTTGTCATGTTGCCTTTCCTTAGTCCCAGCTGAATACTGTGTCAATAAAATCTTCTCTAGCTACTGGCAAAAATCTAAATATTTCTTTAAAGCAGCTGAAATGTAGGCCAGAAAGATTCTTCCAAAAGCTAGAATGAGTAAATGGGTCATACATGTGAAAAGGCAAAGGGAAAAGAAGTCAACAGCATCAAACAGCACAGAGCTCCAACGTCCCCCTAGCAGGGAGAGGGCTTTGCTCCCCTCCACCCTTCCCCACGGGCAGAGCTGAGGGTGGCCTCACCTCTGGCGTGGCACTGCGGGACTCCTCGTTGCACTCGCTGTCACTGGAGCTGCTCTCGCTGTCGGAGTCGGACTCGGAGCTGCTCTCGGACTCACTGGAGCTGCCGGAGCCGCCGCTGGAGTGGGCCAAGCCAGCAGTGTGTGCCACTGGCACTGGCAGGCTGCTGGGGGACAAGATCCTCTCTTAGTGTGCTCCTGGCCTTCTGCAAGGGCTGCCCGGTGAGCCCCATTGACACTGAATGAACCCAGTGTCACCTCCCTCTCCTGGAGAGCTCCAGGCACTGGGCCATCTCCAGGCCCTGGGCCATCTCCAGGCCCTGGGCCACCTCCAGGGCCTGGGCCACCTCCAGGGCCTGGGCCACCTCCAGGGCCTGGGCCACCACAGGGCCACCAGAGGAGCTGGTTGGCTTTGTGACTCATGGGACACATTGATTATGTTAATAACATTACCATCATCATCACCCTCCAGCAAGAAACACTTCAGTGTCACAAGCCTGAGCTTATTAGGCCGATGATTGCAAAAACTAACAATCACACTTAAATAATTCATTAATGGAATAATGGTTTCTTCATTTTTTGCCAGTTCATTTATAATTTATGATCAAAGGAAGGACATCAGGCAACTAATATTGGACAGGACATTTTAAAAATTAATTTTAATGAATACTTTTACACTGCAGTGTACAAAAACTACGTACTTTTGACAAGTCTCCAGGGAGTGCCTGAGAATTTTTTATTTATAGCTTTTTTCCCTCTCATATTTATGATAATGCAGTGAGAAAATAGCATTCATGCTGAAAATAAGCTTCTCTGTGAAATCTATTTTTCTATGTGTTCAACTGTCCTCCAAGATGTATTTATTAGCAGTGCACTGTGTGTCATTGTTTCTCCTCATCATTTGTTTCTAATCTGAGAGGTCAGACGACCCCAGCTTTTAGCACTACAGAATTCTGCCAATCTGAGTCTTTATAAACTCATCTTTAATTTCAACTTTTTTGTCAGGGAGATAACCATAAGGTTATATGTCTCTTCAGCTGATCTATACAGGGACTTTTTGATGATTGATTTTAAATTTGTGAAGCTGACAAAGCAAAGTGTTTGAAAATCGACACCATTTGCTAGTACGCCTTTATGGATATTCAATACTTCACCTTAATATATCATACACTGTGTGTGTCCCATATTGAGTGATCCAGAGGTGCCTACAAGGTATAATACAGGTTTGCCTCTGTTTCTATTTGCTTTTCTATTTTCCTCCAAGAAGAAATCAGCTAAGCCAGGAATATGCTTTCCTTCACTTTTCAAACCATGATGCTCTATGCATCAAGATGCCCTCTTAAAAAACCACAGTCACCAAGAAACTGAAAAAGCCAAGGGAAGAAGCAAAAAATGAAAAGCCAGAACAAACTGATGGGTGACCCTGCTCTGCTAGAATCTTTACAAGCATTGCCACTGGCTTCCATGACAATAATAGATGGACTTTAATTTTCTTCCTACACTGAGCTACTTTCTCTCCCTCCTTGTTGGTAAAACCTATCGCTTGCACCGCGGTTGGTAACAAAACTGTCTCTTTGAGCCTGGCAATGGCCCTGCAGTGCCCATTGACAAAACAGCTTGGTGCTTTAGGGTGCATTAATGAAACAAAATTACTCACTTGGGTAATTGCTACAGATCACTAACTTTGTTGCTCATTAAGTCCATACACTTTTTGTTTTTTTAATTCTTTTAGCGGCTCCTTACTCAACTGACTCAAGTAGAGCTAGTTAGAAAATTTCAACTGGACATAGAAGGCACTTCAAAGAGTGGATGATGAAAACATACAGGCATATAACATAACATTTCTGAGTATTATGTTAAACTAACCACTGAATTAAAATGGATCTTACATTTTGTATTTAATAACATTATTTTTGAAAACCGTTTTTATTTCTTCCTTTATCACTCCTTTTCAGTGAAGCTCAAGAAAGTATAAGAAAACACATATTTCATTCAATTTTTTAGAGTAAACAAGGAAACAGAAAAGTGAAGGAAAAGAAGATGTGTTTGTAGGGGTGTTTGCCTTTCTCATCAATATCTAGTAATTTTGGTCTTATATTTTTTACTTGGTAAACACTAACAGTAGATGAAAGCTGAGCTTTCATACTTCATTGCAAATGTTTCCAGGAAGAATAAAATAGAAAACACCACAAGGATTCCCAGACTGAGGAGGCAAACATAGCAATTCCATTCTATAATGCCAGAATGAAGCACCAGCCTCGAAAAAAACGTGTTATTTATGGAATCATCACAAGACTGAAGTTTTAAATTAAAAACAACTTTCCCCCAAAATCTGAGAGTTTCTCTGGAGTGGTTTGTGCCCAGGCAACCTCCACACAGAGGGGTGTGTGTGGGGCTGCACACAGCTGTGCACATCTGCCTAAGGACATTCTCTGCTCTCATTAAGACAACTGATATAAGGATTAGCACCTCTTGTCTTAGATCAAAGAAGGGAAAGGCAGTGCCCCGGCCAGACCTTTCCCACCTCTAAACACAACTTACCTCTCTTAGCACTCTGGGACTAACATTGCAGCTGGGATGTGCTCACAAAACAACAGGAATCATTCTGGAGCAGACTGCAACTGCCTGACAAAGAACTCAAAGGGCAGGAATAAAACCATGGAAATAGACAGCAGCTCCAACCTGGCCTTATTTTCTTTCTTTCTGCACACCAGCCTCACTCAGAAAAAGCTACCATGTGCCAAACATTACTGAGTAACGCAGCTCAGCAAGCCTTCAGGAACCAGACAGGCTCAAAATAATGTTTTTCATACAAAACACAATGAGGTCATATTCTTCTTTCATCTGGGATAATAAAATTATGCCTTGGCTACACCGGGCAGTTTCATGCTGAAGGCATCATTGCTGATCCTCATTACTAAAGTAGAAGCATTCATTTTCATCATGTAGTTTGGGTTGAGAGCAACTGTGTATGCTTTGCAAAACAATCAGATAAGACCCAAAATGCCTTTCCTAGCATCTCAATATACTAAAGATAGATCTAGTACATAGCTACAAGCACAATCATCTTACAATGCAGTTCAGCAGAGAAGAAAAAGGTATACATACATTTCACAAACAAACAAACAAAAGCATAAAAGTGTGTAAAAATGAATCTTTGCTTCCAATAAAATAAGTTTAGTAGATATTCTGGATTGCCTTTTGTGATTTTTCTCCTTAAATAAAATGCATCTCTTAGTTCAAAAATACTCGGTTTGCACTCTTTCCAGAGATTTCTGCAGATATAAAGTTCAATCATGTTTTGAAAGATGTTGGGCTAGATTCTGCAATTCAAGCAGCTGTTATACAAATAAACTGGCCTTCCTCACATAGGTTTCAACTGCATGAACTGGGGGTTGCCTCTTGAAGAGACTTTCAAAGCAAGCTTTGTTATGTTGCTAAGATCCAGACAAGGAATGCCAGTCCAGACAAGGTTTAAAATGGATTTAAAGCATTTTATCATCAGACCCAAGTCCTCAAAGTGACTAAAGGGGGCAGGAAGGACTGATATTTGAAACTATTGAATTTTTATTTCCCAGCAGGAGATGAGCACTCATATTGTTCCTCAGTGTTTGGGTGGACAATGTTTTTATATCATGTGAACTGAAAAAAAAACTAATAAAAACAATGCTGCACAATGGAACACAGCATTGTTTGGGTAAATAACACTTAGAAGAAAGCCAGTTCATTATTATCACTTGAGATTGGGGGCCCCTACTGAGACCAGTGACCCGCTGTGCTGGATCTGTGTAAATACATGATGAGGCACAGTCCTTGGGCCAAAGAGCTTGCAGTGCAAACACACAAAGCAAACAGCAGAGGTATTACAGTCATCTTCATACTCAGTGTGGGCCTGTCACATTCTCTAAGTGCAAGGCCTCTCTGCAGCTAATAGAAACATCAGTTGTGCCCTCCTTTTAAGTTCTTCTCATTTTGCTCAGCACTTGAGCTGAGTCCTGCAGGGCAGCCAGACGTGCTCTGCCCTGACCCAGAGCCCCAACCAGGCTGGGGGCAAAGATGCAGAATGACTTGGCAGGGAGAGCCCCACGATTCAGGCCAGATGGATCAGTGGCTGCTCACCCCTCTCCTGAGGAGCTCCTCCTGTGCCATGGGGATGAGAGCCCTGGGGTGACACCCACACTCAGGGGAAGGGCAGCCAGGCCTCTGTCCCTTGCTAAGGTCACCAGGAGGATGTCTCCATCCAGCTGCCTGCAGACTGGGGAGCCAGGACCCCTTCTGACAGAGGAGACCTGCACATCTGGAAGCCAGCTGGAAGGAAGCTCTTCTGCAGCACCTTCACCCATCTCCCTTCTTGTGCTCCTGCAGTGCAAGCATTCCCCCAGTCCCTGATGCTTGTGCACAGCATGGGCACAAAGTACGAGATGAGAAATGCCTTGAATGAGGGGACAAACACCAGCACCATCAGTACCTGGAGTATTTTTCAGCTCTTGCTGAGCTCTTGCAAGCTGAGACTTGCAGGTGTGTGGCTGCTGATGGCTCCAGGTGAGGAGCTGCACTGACCTCATCACAAACCAACCATCTTTCTTTCACTGCAGTTCAATGGTACAGGTGATCTGCCCAAATCACCCTGAAGCTTGTTTGTTTTTTTAATTCATGGGTTATTTTTCAAAAGCCAATTAAAGCAGACATGGCATTATTATGTGGCTGGATCATTATGCTGCATAGAGAACCAAAGGCCTGATATGTGGCTTATGCTTTTTGTTCTTATTCTTGTTGACATCTGGACCATTATATTGTTTTCAACATATAATTTACTCTACTGTTGTTATAAATGATCTTCAAAATTAAACCTGGTAGCTACAACAAAGATAATGTGAAGTACTCCAACTCATTAACATCTAATAAGAAAAATAATAAACTTTTAATCTTGTAAATACAGATGTTAAAAAAGGTATAATTCTGACTACAGCAGTAAACCTCATCAAGGAACAAAACCTCCTAACAAGTCCTTAGCTATCTCCCTGAACCTTTTCCCAATTAGATGTAGTCACGTTAATTGCTGTGAGGAGAATTTGGCAAATAGATGGTGCTCTCCAACAATAGGTTTATTCATTCTAACCTTTCCTTTTTAGGGTAATGATGAATAGGCCACTTGTTTCACTGTTCT